GATTTGAGACCTTTTCTCATTTCTAATGTGTATGTAATGCTATAAATTTCCTTCTCAGCACTGCTTTAGTTATGTCCCACAAATTTTGATATATTGTTTTTTGTTTTCATTTACTTCATTGCATTTTTAAATTTTCCTTGAGACTTTCTCTTTGATCTATGCATTATTTAGAAGTATGTTGTTTAGTTTCCAAGAGTTTGGAGATTTTCTTGTTATCTTTCTGTTACTGATTTCTGGCTTGATTTCATTTTAGTCAGAGAACACATTCTGTGTGTTTAACTTCTGTCAAATTTATTGAGGTTTATTTTATGGCCCAGGATATGGTGTATCATGGGATATGTTCTGTGGACACTTGAAAGGAATGCATTATTCTGCTGTCTTTGGATAGAGTGTGCTGTAAATCTTGATTAGATCCTGTTGATGATGTTGTTGAGTTCTTCTATGCCTTGGCTGATTTTCTGTCTAGTTCTTTGAATTGTTGAGAAAGAGATGTTCAAGTCTACAATTATAATTGAGAATTTGTCTATTTCTGCTTTTAGTTTTATCATCTTTTGCTTTATAGATTCTCCATCTCTGTTGTTTGGTGTATATATATTTAGGATTGCTATGTTTTGATGGATTGATCCTTTTATCATTATATAAATGTCCCTTTTTGTCTCCAGCAATCATCTTTTTAAAATTTTTTTTAAAGACTTTATTTACTTGACGGAGAGAGAGAGACACAGCAAGAGAGGGAACACAAGCAGGGGAAATGGGAGAGGGAGAAGCAGGCTTCCTACTGAGCAGGGAGCCCAATGTGGGACTCGATCTCAGGACCGTGGGATCATGACCTGAGCCGAAGGCAGATGCTTAATGACTGAGCCACCCAGGCGCCCTCCAGCAATCATCTTTGCTGTGAAGTCTACTTTATTGGATATTAATATAGCCACCTTTCTTTCCTCTTATTAATGTTTATATGATATATCTTTCCCTGTCTTTTTACTTTAAATTGCCTGTAATCATTATATGTGAAGTGAGTTTCTTGTGACAGCGTATACTTGGGTCATGTTTCCTTAATCTATTCTGCCAATGCCTGTCTTTTGAGTGGTGTTTTTAGACGATATTAATTTAGTGTAATTTTGATATGTTAGAGCTCACATTTGCCATTTTATTTTGTTTTTTGTTCTTCTGTTTTTCATTTCTCCATTCTCTTTTTGCTGCCTTCCTGTGCATTCTTGAACATATTTAGAACCCCATTTTAATTTATCAATGGTATTTTTTTTCTTTCTTTTCTTTTTTTTTAAAGAGAGCGCATGCACACATGAGCTGGGGAGGGGCAGAGGGAGAGAATCTTGAGCAGGCTCCATGCCCCAGTGCAGGCCCATTGCGGGGCTCCATCTTACAACCCTGAGATCATGACCTGAGCTGAAATCAAGAGTTGGACACTTAACTGACTGAGTCACCCAGGCTCCCCTGAATTTATTGATAGTATATTTGAGGATAGTTTTTCCAATGGATACTCTAGGTGTTACATTATCTGTACATAATTTATCACAGTATACTGATGTTATTTTACCAGTTTGAGTGGAGTATAAAAACTTTACTTCCTTTACTTCCCCTTACCTTCCTCTGTATATAATTGCCTTAAATAGTTCCTCTACATATATTTAGAATACATTGACATTGTTACAGTTTTGCTTCAACTGTCAGTGATAGTTTAGAAAACTCAAAAAAAGAAAGCCTATTGTATTTACCCATATTTTTGATTTCTGTGTTGTGGGTGTTTTTTGTAGTATTATTTCTGACACTAAATGTGTCACAGCTAGGTGTTCTAGAATCCAATTAAATTCTGACACTAACCAACTGGAGTTATTGTCAGATTCCACAGATTTAAAGGCTTAGGCCTGCTGTAAGATTGTCACTACTTTAGACACCAGATGCAGATAGGATGTCCAGACTACCCACACTTCTGCTCCACCAAATACAAATTTGAAGGTCTCCATAATACCCCCTAAAGGTTCAATAATTCACTAGAACTCATAGAACTCAGGAAAACATTTTACTTACATTTACTGGGGTATTATAAAGGATGCAACTCAGGAACAGCCAAAGGAAGAGATTCATTAAGTAAGTTATTGGTTGTGGGAGTGGTGTGTCACAGAGCTCTCATGCCACTTTCCTAACAATGTACTCACTCAATGTATTCACTACTGGAAGCTCTCCAAAGCCCATTGTTTAGAGGTTTTCATGGAGGCTTCAGTAGGTAGGCAGTATTGATTAAATCACTGGTCATTGGTGACTGAACTAAATCTCTAGTCCCTCTCCCCTCAGCTGGTACTGAAAGCGCCAACCTTGTAATCATAACTAGGTCTTTCTGGTGACCAGCTCCCATCCTGAAGCTATCTAGCTTCTTGTCCTCAACCCTCTAGGCAGGAGCCATCTCATTAACATAGAAAAGACATTCTTACTGCTTAGGAGATCCCAGGGATTTGGGGAGCTCCCTGCCATGAACCAGCTGAAGCTGGGAAAAAGAACAAATATTTATTTTTTAATTATACCACATGTGTTCTTTCTTCCTCCCTGATGTTCCAAGGTATCTTCTTTTATCATTTCCTTCTTGTTTAGGAAGTTCCTTTAGCCATTCTTTTAGGGTGTTGTCTGCTAGGGACAAATTATCGTAGTTTTTTTTTCATTTGAGAATGTCTTGGTCTTACCTTCATTTCTGTAGGATATTTTTGCTGGGTGTAGGATTCTGGGTTGATGATTCCTTTCTTTCAGGACTTAATAAATACTGTGCAACTTACTCTGGCCTCCATGGTTTTAGTTAAGAAATCCTTTTTTTTTTTTTTTTTTTTTTAACTATAGGTATTTTCTCTGGCTGCTTTCACAACTTTATCTTTCAGAGGTTTAATTATTATTTGTCTTGGTATGAATTTGTTTGGGTTTATTCTGTTTGCGTTTTCTTTTGATTTTTGAATCTGTAGGTATGTGTCCCTTCCCAAATTTGAGAAGCTTTCAGCCATTATCTCTTACAGTACTTTTTTCAGCCATGCTCTCTTTTTCCTTTCTGAGATTGGGATAACAAAAATACTGGATCTTTTGTTATAGTTTCACTTGTCTCTGAGGCTCTGTACACTTTTTTTCTCTCAGTTTATTTTCTTTCTCTTGATCAAATTAGGTTATTTCTATCATTCTGTCTTTCAGCTCACTGATTTTCCTCTGTTCCCTTTATTCTGCTGTTGAACTCATCCATTTTGGTTTACTATATTTTTTAATTCAAAAATTTCGTTGAACTTTCTTTTATATCTTGTTTCTTTGTTGAGGGTTCCTGTTTTTTTATCTTTTTTTTTTTAAGATTATTTATTTATTTGATGGAGAGAGAGTGAGAGTGTGCAAGAGAGCAGAAGCAGGGGGAGTGGCAGGCAGAGGGAGAAGCAGGCTGTGCAGGGAGCCTGATGTGAGACTCGATCCCAGGGTCCTGGGGTCATGACCCAAGCCAAAGGCAATGGCTTAACCAACTGAGCCACCCAGCCATCCCTGTTTTTTCATTTGTTTTAAGCTTATTTGTAATTGCTTGGTGAAGCATTTGTATCATGGCTGTTTAAACCTTTAACAGTGAATTCTAATATCTTTGGTATCTTGGTGTTGGCATCTATTGATTATCTTTTTTTCTCCAGTTTTAGATCTTCCTGGTTCTTAGTGTGATGAGTGATTTTTTTCTCTTGAAATTTGTACATTTTCTTATAGTGTTAGGAGATTCTGGACCTTCTTCAAGCCTTCTCTTTTAGCTAGCCTTTTCTGACATGGCTTTGCCAGTGGAAGGGTGGCTGCCACCTTGTTTGACAGGTAGAGGGAAGTCCAGGTTTTCTACTGAGCCCTGTTGACAACCTGAGGCGGGGGGGAGGGGGCTCCTTGTTTGTACTGGTCAGGGTGGAAGTTCCAGTGGAGTGCACCTGGTCTCCATGGACACTGCAGTGGAGGTGAAAGTTCTGACTGGGGTCTCTCCTGATACTTCTCCATTGGAATGGGTGGGAGCACCTTATTACTGCAAAATAAGGGTGCAAGTCCAGTTTACCCTCATAGTCCACTGATTACCATCTGGCAGGAAGGAAAGACCTGGCTCCTTATTTGGCCTTCTCTGAGATCACCCTGGTGGGGATGTTGGAGTACCCTGTTACTGTTTCATGAGGTTGGAAGTCTTAGCTCTCCTTACTTGGCCTTTGCAGGTGAGGTTGGGAGTGGAGCCACAGTGTATTCTGTGATGTTTGGCTGGAGAATGGTTATTGAATAAAGGTCTTTTGTCTTGCTAGGCTGCCCCTTGCTTAGTCCTTTGGCTAGAAAGAAGAGGCTTTTGTTAGGCTTTTTTTGGTGTGTGTGGGGGGGGTTGCCAGCTTCCTTAAGTCCAAGTTTGGGATCTAAGAGGCAAAAAGAAATCCTAGTGAACTCATCGCCATGTCTTTCCTCAGATCCCATAGTCCCTAGTTGGTCTGCCTTTACTTTCCTCCTTTCAGATTCTTTTCATGTTTGTTTTATATGTGATATCTAGCGGGTTCTTGTGCTTAGAGGGAGAAATGAGGTAAAGTATGTCCACTCCATCTTCCTGAAAGTGGAAGTTGCCTTTTTCTTTTAAAGCTAGCACCTTTTAACTTTTTATGTCAAATCCTTATTCCGAGTATTCTGTCCTATAATAATTCTGATGCCAGAGAGACAGAAACAAGGAGTCCATCCATCCCTGTTCACTTGGAGAGTAATTCATATTAGATAGGGCTCTGTGCTGCAGCCAGAGAAACATGCTATTAGGCAGTAGCTCTTGGTTTTCAGTGTTATCTTGTCCCTCCTGTCCACCTAGTTATTGGTCTTACTTGTCTCTTCATGTAAGTCAGTGATTTGGCATTAAAATTTTTATTTTACTGTTTTGTCCACAGATTAAGGTAAGTAATTCAAAAATAATAGATTGCTAATATTTAAATTTTATTTTAGAAAATACCTAAGAAATTTAAAGTATTATTTTTTTTATACAGGCATTGAAGAAAAATTTAGGCCCTTTTATGTAGTTCAATTAGAAGAAAATGTAGAAGATGATGTGACAAGTTTAAAGGTAGGTAACCTAGCAGGTACTCAAAGCATAACATATCAAAACATATATATTATCAATCTTGAAAACCAAGGCAATATAATTTGTTACTAAGATTTGAGGTAAGCGAGCTTGATAACCACTTGAAAAAAATGAGCAGTTTTATACAGATATCATCAAGTTGGCATACTGGACCCATTCCTCCATCAAAACTAATGAAATGAGAGAAATTATATATAGCAATATGAAAACAAAAGCACAATGTCACTGGAATAGAATGGAAAGTACCGTAGGTGGATCAGTCATTTTGAAGAATTCTTGAAAGATAGAAAGCCAACAGAATTATATTTGCTAAGTCACAGAACAGAAAAAGAAAATGCTAACCCAAAACATAATGCTGAAGAAGAACTGGTGGAGCAAGCCTTGGGTCCGTGTGTACAAGGAACAGAATGGTCACCTGGGACATTGATGATAAGATTGTCATTTGGGAACCATGGTTGTGCCAGTTAGAAAAGTTGACTCCTCCCCCTGATTCCCTTGTGATTAGCAACAGATGGGAGCAGCATCTGCCTCAACTTGAAGCAGTGAAGTTGGTGGGTGTCTGGGGTCTAAGAGGTATGTCAAAGGTTGATAGGTTGATACCAGCTAAGTAACCAAGAGAAACAAAGACCTTCCCTACATACACACTTAGAAAGCAAGTTGCTGGCATAAGTCTTACAGCAACATGAAGGGAAGACTACAGTAAATAAAACAGGAAGGCATATGGAGATTTTAAAATAAAGATAAAAAACCAGAGAGTCAAGAATTACCAGACTTTTGAGGGATACCTACACTCTAAAAGGAGAGGTATCCAATGGTAACCGTTCTTGGGCATCCAAAGGCCATCAGGAAGGATAGTTACTAAGGCTAAAAAGTATTACCACAATAATCAGGAATATTTCATAATGATAAAAAGTTCAATTCACCAGGAAGATAATAACAGCTTTAAATATGTATATGCCCTAAATAACATAGCCTCAATATATACAAAGCAAAACTTGACAAAACTCAAAGAAGAAATAGACAAATTGGAGATTTTAATACAGATTTCTCACTGATAGAACAACTGGACAAAAAAAAAATCAGTAAGAATATAGAAAATTTGAAGAATATGATTAACATTTGACTGAATGGAAATAAATAAAACACTGCATTTAATAACTGCAGAATACTTAACTTTAAAGGCTTTTCAAGAACATACAGAACAATACTTTAAAATTGACCATGCCCTGGGAAATAAAACAATTATCAACCAACCAATTTAAAAGGATTGTAATCATATAAAGAATTTTCTCTGATTTTATTTCAGTTATGCTACAAATTAATCTTAAAATTAGAAAAATCTCATGTGGTTACAAGTTAAGAAGTATATTTTTAAATACCCTGTGGATCAAAAAGGAAATCACAATGGAACTTAGAAAAATTTAAAACTGAAGACTAACAAAAACACCACATATTAAAACAAAATGCAAATATGACTAAGAAAAAAACTTAAAGGAAATACCAAAATGTTAATTTTGTGCTTGGAGTGGAGGCAGTGTATGTGTAGGTTTCTTTTTAAATATAATTCTGTACATTTTCTATATTTTCAATAATGAGTAGTATCACTTTTATAGCAAAAAAAGAGTTTCTTTTTCTACTTTTATATTGGTAAAATATACATAACATAAAATTTACCATCTTACCCATTTTTTCTTTTCTTTTTTAAAGATTTATTTATTTATTTTAGAGAGTGAGCGTGATCGCACATGGGTGGGAGGAGGGCAGAGGGAGTGGGAGAGAGAGTCTTAAGGTGACTGGGTGCTGACCACAGAGGCTAACGCAGGGCTCTATCTATATCATGACCCGGAGATCACGACCTGAGCGGAAACCAAGAGTCAGTCCCTTAAAGGACTGCACCACCCAGGCGCCCCACCATCGTACCCATTTTTAAGTGTACAATTCAGTAGCATTAAGTACACGCACAATGTATCCATTTCCATTTTTAAAAATCCCAAACAGAAACTCAGGATCCATTAAATAAGAGCTCCTCATTCCTCCCTCTCCCCAGCTCCTGGTAACGTTTAATTACAGTTTCTGTCTATGAATTTACCTAGGAGAGTCTAGGTACCTTACAGACGTGGGGATCAGACAGTATTTGTCTTCTTGTATTTGTCTACCCTGTTTCACTAAGCATAATGTTTTCAGGGTTCATCCATGCTGTAGCATGTGTTAGAGCTTCATTCCTTTTTAAGGCTGAATAATTCTCCATTTTATGTGTATATCACAGTTTGATTATTGATTGAGCTGTGATGGATACTGAATTGTTTCCACCTTTTATCTGTGAATAAGGCTGCTATGAACATTGGTGTACGATTTTTTTTTTTTTTGAGCTCTTCCCTTCAATTCTTTTGGGTATATACTTAAGAGTGGAATTGCTACATTGTATGATAATACTACCTTTAACTTTTGAGGAACCCTCAAATTGTTTTCTATAATGGCCCTACCATTTTACATTTCCACCTGAAATGCTCAAGTTTCCACTTTCTCTACATTCTCACCAACACTTTTCATTCTCTGGGTTTTGTTTTGTTTTTTAAATAATAGCCATTCTAATGAGTGTGAAGTCATATATATATATCTTACAGGGTGGTTTTGATGGATATTTTCTTAATGACTAATGATGTTGAGCATCTTTTCATGTGCCATTTGTATATCTTCTTTAGAGAAATGTTTATTCAAGCCCTTTGGTCATTTTTGAATTGAGTTGTTTGTGTTTTATTATTGAATTGTATGAATTCTTTATATAATCTGGATATTCATCCCTTATCAGAGATATATGATTTGCAAATATTTTTCTTCCTATTCCATGGCTTATCTTTTCACTCTCTTGATGGTGTCCTTTGATGCACAGAGGCTTTAATTTTGATGTAGTCCAGTTTATTTATTTTTATTTTGTTGCCTATGTTATTGGTGTCCTATCTGAGAAATTATTGTCAAATCAAATGTCATGAATCTTTCCCCCTATGTTTTCTTCTAATGTTTATGTGGTTTGAATGCTTAAGCTTTGGTCCATGTGAGTTAATTTTTGTATATATTAAAGGTAAGGGTCCAGCTTCATTCTTTTAGGTGTGGATATCCTGTGTTCCCCCATTGCATGGTCTTGGCACCCTTGTTGAAAATCGGTTAGCCATGCAAGGGTTTATTTCTGAGTTCTCTATTATCTTCCATTGGTCTCTGCTTGTCCTTTGACCATTACCACACTGTTTTGATTACTGTAGTCTTGTAGTAAGTTTTGAAATCAGGAAGTGTGAACCCTCCAAATTTGTTCTTTTTTAGGGTTGTTTTGGCTATTTGGGAAAAAAGTTTATTTTTAATAAAAGATTTATTCCTTGTAAGAGCTATATGAAATCTCTACTGTTTGAAAAGATTTGTTTTTCTTATAATAATTTTCTGGAACTATTTTCTACTGTTCACTAAGGTGTACATTTATGCTGTTAATTACAGAAAGAGTATCCAGACCCAGCCCAAAATTCATTTGTGAAGAGAATGCATTCTCTCCAGATTGACTGTACAGCAGTACCTCCAAGCAGGTCAAATTCAGGTAATATCCAATGATTGAAAGTAATGTATTCACTTGTTTGTTTATGCATTCACTCTATTCTCAAAAATACTCTTCATGACCGTAAAGAAACAGAAGAAGCTATAAAATATTTAAAGAAATTTATAATATACTTGGGAGTGAAGACACATATATTTGAAATAGTAAATAACAGTGTATTCACCAAAATCACAAAGCATCCTGAACATAAGAGGCCTAACTTATCTGATAGGAAGAAAGTGACAGCTCAGGAACAAGAGGGGACATGTGTGGAAGCAAGGTCCTTGAGGTCAGGGATGATAGATCCAGAGAACAAGCAGAGAGGTTGATCTCAGATTCAAGGAAGGATACTTTTTTCATTATAACAAAAGGAAAAACAGAGTATAGGATATTGAAACCACTTTATTAGCTATCTGTCCTAGGACAAATTAGCCTTTTGTAAACCTCATCCATCGAATCATGATAATAATTGCTCCTACTCTTACAGGGCTTTTAAAGAATAAAAGAATCCATGGAAAGTGCTTAAAACCAAGCTGCTCCTGTTCTTATTGTGTAGCCCTGCATCCCATCAAGGAGACAGCCACCTTCTCTGCTACAACACAAGTCCCTCTCTTCCTTGCTCATTCCTGTGACACTCACATTTCTGTTGCCTGTTAAAATTTCCCTAGTGCTCTCTCACCACCATGCAGGTACTTCTACGAATTACCTATAGAGGTAATATAGGTAGCAAGAGGACCATCAAGTAAATGCTTTTTTATTTGTTCTCAAAGGTTTCAGTATGTTATTCTGAGATACAGATGTATGATGGTGCTCAGCTTTTATTTTACTTCTTGTTGCTTTTTGAAACTCTTTCCAATGTTGATCATTTCTTCTCAGCCCCAGAACAGCCCAGCTCACTGCACAGTTCCCATGGACTTGGGATAGGTCCCGTGGAGGAGTCCTGGTTTTCTCCCTCCCTAGAGAACCAGCAGGAGGAGAATCAGCTCAGCTTGCAGAGTAAACTCCAGGAGGAAGCCAACTACCATCTTTTTGGCAGCCGCATGGACAGGCAGACAAAACCGCTCAAACAGAATGTGGCTTATAATAGAGAGGAGGAAAGGAGACGAAGGGTCTCCCATGACCCTTTTGCACAGCAGAGACCTTATGAGCATGTTCAGAACCCAGGAGTGAAAGGCCTTCCTTATTCTAGTGCAACTAGTCCTGGTAATGCACTACACCAACCCACAGGGCTAACCAGCCAACCCCAAGTGCTATACTGGAACAATGGATTGTACAATCCATTTGCTTTTGGATCAAGACCACAGGATCTGGGAACAACAGGTTCAAGAGTTTTGTATGGGCCAAATCCAAGCCATATGCCAAGCGTGCATAAAATTCCAGTGCCTGAGACTAACCTACTGGGAAACACACCCACCCTTCCATTCAGCTCCTTCCCATCAAGAGGTAAACAGTTTTTTTAGCTACAATTTTTTTTTTTTTTAATGTTTCTGAAAATAAAGCAGCCATTAGCTCTGTTGTAGACTCTAAGGTAACAAGGGTGAGTTGCTTGTGGTGTTCAGCTGCCAGATGCAATTTGCAACCATGGAATAGTCTCCATCAGACCACTTGGCCTCAGTTCGGGTGGGATTCATTGCAGCTGCCTGCAAGTGTTGGGTTACAGGTCCTTCCTTGTAACTGGTAGGCACGTCTGCTCTAATCTGCATCACAGTGGTCCCATTGTACCCAATCTCTGATGGAAGTGAAGGTCACTGCTTGTGTTCTTTTACTTGCTTGCTGTTTTCTGAAGGTTAAGAAAGAAGTCTTGGATATTTTGATGCTTATCTTATATAGGCCAAAGACTGCCATTTGTGATGAAACCAAAATATTGGGCTACGATCACCACCATTTATCTCCAAAGCTCTTTTCATCTTCCCAAGCTGAAACTCTGTATTCATCAGACACTAATTCCCCAGTCCACCCCCGACCCTGGCAGCCACCATTCTACTTTGCGTCTTTATGAATTTGACTACTCTAGGGTACTTCATATAAGTGGAATCATACAGTCTTTGTCCTCTTGTGACTGGCTTATTTCACTGAGCACAGTGTCCTAAAGGTTCATCCATGTTGTAGCATGTATCAGGATTTCCTTCCTTTTTAAGGCTGAAAAATAATCCATTGTCAGTATATAACACATTTTGCTTATCTGCTCCTCTGTTGATGGACATTGTGTGGCTTCCACTTCTTGGCTGTTGTGAATAATGCTGCTATAGACAGGGGTGTATAAATATCTGTTTGAGGCCCTGCTTTCAATTCCTTTGGGTATATACCCAGAAGTGGAATTGCTGGATCTTAGGGTAATTCTATTTTTAATTTTTTTGAGGAACCTCCATACTGTTTACCACACCATTTTGTATTCCCACCAGCAGCACACAGGGGTTCCAGTTCATTCACATCCTTGCCAACACGTGTTACTTTCTGTTGTTGTTTTGTTTTTGTTTTTATAGTAGTCATCCTGATGGATGTGAGGTTGGTTCAGTTACATTTTAAAAGAAGAAAATTTCAAAGGTTGGCATAGGATAAATAATTTAACTTATACATCCAGAGTAAAGCTCTGCCTTTTTACCATGTTGTATTTATTTCTTTTGCTTTCAATCTAGATACACTTACCTGTGTTTCACTCTATTCAGATGAGTCTGTGAAATGTACCATATACAACAGTGCTGGCATTCAGGTTGGAGACCATAATTATATGGAGATTAGTGGAATGAGTTCAGTGCTACCAGACATGAACTTGAAAGAAGAGCCAGCTTCTAAGTACCAAGATATCTTTGGTAAGATGCCCTTTAAGGACCTGTCATCTAGCAACCTGGAACTTTCTTACTTGTTTAGAGGGATAGAGTGGAATCCTGAAATTTTTCCAATTATTTTCCCTGAAAGTTGCCCCATGTTTTCTCCGTAAAATGTCTCTGTAATTTCCGTATAATTCCTTTGTGGTTTATTTATGTTTAATATGGGGATAATTACAATATCTAATTCACAGATTTGTTATGAAAATTAAATGAGTCAATATGTATAAAGAGCTTAGAACACTGCCTAGCACATAGTAAGATCTATGAAAGTGTTGAACACATCATCATCATCATTATCATGATCAATATCACTACTCAGACCTAGAAGAGGTAGGTCCCTCAGGTCTTCATCAAAAGGGATTCTGAAAAGATAGAAGACTCTGCCCTCAACAGCACCTCTGTTATAAAAACAAGAGAGCTTTCTCTTATAGGGTTCCACTATGCAGGCTCATGACATTAATCCCAAAACACAACCTGGGAAACAGGCATGAGGCCAAAACAATGGGATTTAAGAACGCAACTTTATGATTAACCCCAGGATTGGCAAAATGTTTCTTCTGTCAAGGACCAGATAGTAAATATTTTAGGTTTCACTGGCCCTGAGGTCTCTGTTGCAACTACTCATCTGACATTGTAGTACAATAGCAGCCACAGACAATATGTACATATGTACGTGGCTGTGTTCCAGTAAAACTATTATTTACAAAAACAGGCAGCAGGCCAGATTTGGCCCAGAGGCCATAGTTTACCAATCCCTGACCTAATCCATTTGAAGAATAGTCCTTAGAGAGGAGGTTCCTAACTCTTGGGGTGACACAGGTAGCTTTGAGAATCTGATGAAACCCAGGGTCCCTCTCCTGGAGAGGTACTGACAGAATTTGGGACATTTTTGGACTGCTGACGTCCAGTGGTGATGACAGAAGATGCATTGTGGGGAGCTAAGGAAAGAATGGGAGTTGCGGGGGGAGGGGAGTGCTAAGGAAAGAAAGGGGCATGGGGAATGAGATGTCTTTTTCCTTATATTCAGCTTATTGGGGTGGGATGAGGATCAAGGAAAATGTGTGTGGTGGTGATTTTATACTTTAGTTTCTTTTTGTTATTTCTATGAAGGCCTAAGAGGAAGAAATCAGTAGAAAGGGAGGCTGTGGCTGTAGGAGAAGAGAAGGTAACACTTAGGGTAAAGGAGAGAGGAGTCCCAAAACAGACCTTGAAAAGTAGATACCTCATTCCTTAAAAGACAAGGGAAGGCATTGTAATTGAACAAGTTTGCACTTGATGGTCTTGGTTTCCCTAAGTAAGAGGAAAGTGAACTGTAGGGTGCAGGGGATCAGGAATTGAATGACCTTGATTCTGGCCAGATATAACTAGACAATGCCAAAAGGAACAAAAATGGTGTTTTCTTTGCTCTTTACATCAGGAAGGTCTGATATTAACAGGGCCACTGGCTAAGGTTGTACAGAACAGCCTAGTAGCCAAGCAGGGCTTTTATTCCCAATGCCATCAGCTGTAGCTCAGAGAGGTATCTGCTAGGAGGAGGAGGTTCTCTATTGTACTCACATAAACATTCCAAATGGGCTTCCAGACATGTAAAGTATCACCTCACGGGTCAACAACTCTATAATTAATAAGTTATCTTTTTTACTGTCTCCTGATAATCTTTATACAGGTTTTTGAAACTAGAATGTTCAAATGGGTTATAGCCTGATGCCTTCTTCTCTTTTCTGTTTGGCAGAAAATATCACTAGTCTGACTGATAAACATCTGGACCCAGTCAGGGAAAATCTGGGAAAGCAATGGAAAAACTGTGCCCGTAAGCTGGGCTTCAGTGAACCTCAGATTGAGGAAATTGACCATGACTATGAGCGAGATGGACTAAAAGAAAAGGTTTACCAGATGCTCAAAACGTGGCTGATGAGGGAAGGCAATAAGGGGGCCACGGTGGGAAAGCTGGCCTATGCGCTCTACCAGTGTTCAAGAATAGACCTCCTGAACTATTTGGTACATATCAACCAGAGCTAACTCCAGAAGGGGCTTTGGCAGCATGAGGTAATCTCCTCACCTAGTGAGTAAGTAACCCACTGGAAGTGTGCTGCCTCAGATCCTTCAGAATTCTCTCCTCACTGATACAGGTTCTCTGTCTGCATAAACATCTCCCACATTCCATAGCTGGAGAATGGGAAAGAAATCTACAGCGAACAACCTACTAACCAGGAAGACCTATTAATGGCTGAGACCCAATCCAAAAAGAAGCCTAATTGGGTTTTGAAAGGGAGAGAGAGATACTTGAGGAAGATAATTTTCTTTCAGTTCATTCCATAACCTTCCGCAATGACATTCATTTAATTTCCTGGAGTTTTGTTTCAGCAAGAAAAAAAAAATTCAGGGGACATAAACAAAGTCAACTTTCTTATTTTATGCTCTCTTCTCCACATAGGCTCCTGTTATCACCAAAGTACAGTGAAATTGTGAGTTCTCTTCAACTAGGTTTTTTTTTGGTATTCTAACCACAGTTCATTCCAAAACTCTAAGGTCTGTTAACTTCAGTATCAAATGTTGTGTCATTCACCACAGGCTTCAAGAATTACATGTAGTCTCCACTCCATAAATTAACTGAAGGGATTTTAAGGACTACTAAAACAGAAAAAAAAAAAAAAATAGAGAACAAAAATATCAGAATTTTCCAGGTGGTTGTTGCAAAGGAATTGCTACTAATTGTGGTGACTACATCAATTTTTGATGAAGTTTTTAACTTCTTTCCTAGCATTCTGATACTTTTTGTACTTTCCCAACCTCTGTGCCGTGCAGAGGGAGCATGTACACAGGGAATATTGATCTCTTCACACCTGGCTGTGACTGGAGCTTCAGGGCTGATCACTGTTGAGCAGCTTCCTCAGCTTACCCCAGGATACTGTAGAAATATTTTCATTTTCTTCTGTGAGCTGCTGTGATGTAAAAAAAGGATGCTTCAAAGTCTGATAATTGTGCCTCTAACACTCGACCTTTCAAAGCCCACCCGGAACTCAGGAATGAGTGAAAGGAACCAGAAGACTAGAAGACTGAAGGCAAGCAGCCCATCCAGTATCACTGCCTCCACGTGGCTAAACGGAGAGGGTGTGTCATTGTGCTCAGCCCTTCCAGGAAGGAGGGAGAGAAGGATGCAGTATGGTGATTCTAGATGTCAGAACAGATTCTAGGGTCTGGTGGGCTGATAACAGTATTGTGGTTGGTGATTCTAAAATCCCGCTAGCCCCAGCTGACACACACACACACACACACACACACACACACACACACACCAACACCTGAAGTGGGATTGTAAAACAGAATTTCTCAACTTCTTCACTATTGGCATCTTGGGCCGGATAATTCCTTGTTGTGGGGGCTGTCCCGAGCATTGTAGGATCTGGATGTCTGAAAGTATCCTCTACCCACTAGATGTGAATAATGCCGTTCTCCCCTCCTCCTGTCCCCAGTTGGGACAAGCCAAAATGTCTCAAGACATTGCCAAATGCTCCCTGGAAGGACACAGGTGCCCCCATTGAGAAGAGCCCTGCTACAAAGTAATGAACCTCAGTCTCTTATCCACACATATCTAGGCTCACTACTTAGTTGCCACATCGCATTAGATCACATAGACCAAAAGAAAAATTGGATGGAGAAAGAGTCCCAGGCTTTGCTAGAGAGGCGTGCGTGGATGATTGCTTTTCTAAATGTATCCCTTGTACCTCTGTCCTAAGTGTTTAAATTCTCTAAATTCCAAAGCGATTGAATGATCAATGTTAAAAGGCAAAAATGGTATTTTAATGGACTTTTAAAAATAAAATTTTGTACCTCAACTATAAGCAACTGAAATGATGTGTTTGTATAAATGAAACCGTTTGGGCTTCTCCACTTAGGTTGGCATTTCCTAGACGTACTCTCCTTTTCACCCTCCTGCTATTAACAGGCAAGAGGAAGCTGAGAGTAAAAAGAAGAGAAGCTTCTGGACAGCTTTTTGGCTCTCAGGATGAAAATGTGCTGCCTTGAGAGCCTGCAGCCCCGCTGTCCTTCAAACATGGTTCAGAAGTCTTTCTTTCAACCCCTACTCTCTAAAAACTGGACTGAAAAGAGCCAAATTTGTATCTGAAGAGTTTCAATACAAGAAAATCAATTGGGCAGAAAATCAATTAAGTGAGATGGCACGGACTACAAAATGAGAAATCATACTTGGTTTTGCAAAAGACCCTAAGGTTTCTACTGTAAATAACGCCCACTTCGAACTCTTATGGCCTTGTGAAATCAGCAGATTTTCCACTTGCTGTGGTTACAATGTTTGTTTGGGGTCCATCATATGAAGTTAGGTCTTCAGGAATAGTTCTTTCTTCCTCAGAAAATGTTTTAAATAGAATTTAGATGTACATTTTTTTTTTAAGATTTATTTATTTATTTGACAGACAGCGAGAGAGGGAACACAAGCAGGAGGAGTGGGAGAGGGAGAAGCAGGCTTCCCGCTGAGCAGGGAGCCTGATGTGGGGCTCGATCCCAGGACCTTGAGATCATGACCTGAGCCGAAGGCAGATGCTTAACCATCTGAGCCACCCAGGCGCCCTCGATGTACATTTTAATGTGTGTTATTTACAAACGTTTTTCTTTTATAATAATGTGAATAAAACTAGGTGTTACTAAGACAAATGACTTAGCCAATCGCAGATAAAAATGTTTTGTGTCAGCAGCAGGCTGTGACACTACAATGGAAAACAAGCTCAACCTGACTTTCTGTAAAAACTTCCTTGCCAGAATGTGCAATGGTAGATGATATTGTTAGTATTTTAGTATTGGTTTCTCTCCATACAAGAATAACCATGTCAACAAGATCGATTCTTTTAGTCACATCTGTTGTTGTAGGATTAAAAAAAAAAAAAAAAATCCACTAACTGCCAAAACTGAATTTAATACAACATCGCGGTTTAAATTTTAAATTTACTTTAACGCATCAGGTTCTAGTGTTTTAGGGGTAAGAAGTGAAAGATTAATGATTTTTACCCATTGCAATCAGGCAGGGTTAATGTGCAATTTCACTGCAAAGGACTGAAGTCAAGAAAAAAAACAACAACAAAAGAACAAAGCAAAACACTACGTGTCTATGTGGTCAAGATTTTAGAAATATGACTACAAAGAAATCATTGAAGGCCTAATGGTATTCCAGTGAATTCCATAACAAATAACAATCCAAGTACAGTTTGTGAAATCAAGCAGGCTTAAATACTCTTCTGCCACTCCTTTGCTGTGTATGGAGGGCCTGCTTCCTAACCTCTCTTAGCCTCAATTTTCTCTAATAGTAATAGGGCAAAAAAGTTGATGTGAGGATCAAAATAATGCATCATAAGGTGCCCAGCACAGTTATTTTTAAAACTGTACAGTAGTGTTATACATAAAGGACTAGTTCTCAAGTGTGCACTTAAAAATCAATTGTGACACCAATAACCTAAAGCCTCACAGTGCTACTGTTTCTGCTTCTCGGTAGGATAACATTGCTAAAATTGTACAATTATTCTTACTCTCATGATCTCTGACCAGAAATCCCAAATCAACGTCTCAGGAAAAAATAAGGAAATCTTGACCCACCAAAGGTTTCTGAAAGTCAGATGATAGTAATCAGCTGAAATGTATTTCTCTTTCCTTCTATGCGGGAAATTGATGTGACACAGGTTGAAAGAATATTTTTGCATAATCCATTTTTAGGCCCACCTTGCCTTTATTGCTCAAGAAACTCAAATGGCCAGTGGGGATACTGCAGGTATCAGAACTTTCCATGGCTGTAACACTTTAAAAAGCACTGTGTGTATAGGACTATTTCCAATAGAAGGGTCTCAGGGAAGAGAAAGAATGTGATATGCAAGGAAGCCTCAGCTATTCTGAATAATTGGAGCCAAGGCTAAACAGTGACCGTAAATCTGCCAGTTATTTCCAGTTAAGTCAGAGTGGTAGCCAGAAATACAGCGGTAGTTTTTTCTCCACTGAATTGTGAATTGCAGGTAATGTTTATAATCTTTAGAAAGCTGCAATTATATAATCTGAAGAAGAAACATTTTGTGGTAAAATACAAATAAAACTTACCATCTTAACTTCTAAGGAGATAGTTCAGTGGCATTAAGTAACCTCACATCCTCGTGCTACCACCACCATTTCCATCTCCAGAACTCCTTTCATCTTACAAAACTGAAACTGTGCGCCCATTAGACACTAACTCCCCATTCTCCCCTTCCGGCACCCCTTGGCAAACCACCTTTCTACTTTGTCTCTTTGAATTTGCCTATTCCTCATATATATGAAATCATACCGTATTTGTCCTTTTATGACTGGCATATTCACTTAGTATAATGTCTCAGTGTTCATCCATATTATGGCGTATGTCAGAATTTCCATCCTTTTTAAAGAAAAATATTCCATTATATGTATACACATTTATACCTTCATCCCTTCATTGACATTTGGGTTGCTTTCCACCTTTTGGCTGTTGTGAATAATGCTATGACCATGAGTGTATAAATATCTTTGAGACACTGTTTTCAATTCTTGAGGGTATATACCCATAAGTGGAATTGTCAGATCTTATGGTAATTCTAGGTCTAATTTTTTAAGGACCCACCATGCTGTTTTCCACCGCCACTGCACCATTTTACATTCCCACCAGCGGTGCACCGGTTCCAATTTCTCCACATCCTCGCCAATACTTATTATTTTCTGGTTTGTTTTTTGACAATAGCTATACCAATGGATGTGAGATGGTATGGAGGGAAATTTTAATCCCATCATTCTTAGAAGCAAATGCATTTCACCTCACCGATAGCAGCCAGCCTGAAGCCCCCCTTCTCTCACCCATCCCTCCGGAGCCCCTCCTCACCACCCACTCTCTGAAAGATGGATGCGGCCTCGCCTCCTTGAAGGGACCAGTCACCGTGGCGACAAGCGGGGCAGAGCCCACTGGGACGTGCTCCTCGTGAGCCAGAGCTGGCACCCCGAGAGGAGACGATCTGTGTTGCAGTGCCGTGGGACCCCGAGCCCCGTTTCTGTCAAGGGTCAGAGACGGCCCAGCATCTCAGCGCGACAAGAGTAGGCTGGCGGAAGGTGACCAATGCACCCATCACCCGACTGAAGTCCGGCGCATGCGTGCTCCCGGGCAGCCCGGCGGAGCGGGCCCTCGGCGGAGCGGGACCTCGGCGCATGCGTGTTTCCTAGCGACTCAGCCAGCAGGCCTGGGGCAGCGGGCGGGGCGGGGCGCAGGCTTGTTCTCCCGCGGCGGTGCCGGGCCCTCCCGGTGCAGTGGGTGGAGCCCGGCGCAGGCGCGCTCCGAGGCTGGGCGCCCCTGGGGTCATGGCTGCGGAGCCAAGCCGCCGGGTTTTGCGGCGTCTGCGGATCCTCCTGTCGGCTCTGAAGCCCGGGAACCCGGTCCCCCGTGCCGGGCCTGCAGCCGCATTCGGGTAATGCTGCCCGCTTCCCTCCGGGAGCCCGCGCGGCGAGGTCCGCGCTCTGGGGGGCGGCGGGAGAGGAACGCGCTAGCTGGGGGGGCAGGCTGGGCGGTGCGAGTAGCGGCGGTGGACGCCGGGTCTCCGCCCTCTTGCCCTTACACGGCGACCGGGAGCCTGCGCGACGTGGTTGCACTGGAGGCGGTGGGGCTGTTCTCCACCTCTGCTACTCCGGGACTGAGCACTTCAGCCTGGCATCGGCTTCAGTTCGGTGACTCTGGAGCCCTAAAGGACTTGGGTGATGGAGTTCAAGCCCTTCATTGTGCAGACGAAAGAGACCCAGGGAGGTAACGTAATTTGCTCTCAGCCACAGACACTCTCACGACAGAGATTAGAATCCCGAACCCTTCATTCTTATTCGTTGCTCTGTCCAGTCTCTTCACACCTTCAGGACTCTGATCTCTCATGCTTCTTATATTTAAAAAAACCAGCCTGAGAATGTCCGTGACCTGTTAGCTCTCATAGTCACGGGTCCCTGGTCCGAAGTCCCTGCGTTGTCTTTTTTTTTTTTTTTTTGGTGCTGATTTTGAACTTTAATGTGCAAAAGGACCATCCTGAGCACCTGGGAAAATTCAAAATCTTGGCCTACTCTGAGGTTCTGATGTAGCTGGAAAGGCCAAGAGTCTGCCTTTTTCTTTTCTGACTCCCTGTCCCCCATACTCACATATACTTCGAGATAAATAAAAAAAACAAAACTAGATTAATCTCTGACCTACTGTCTTAAAAATGGGTGCCCTTGGTCCCAAGAGACACTAAGAAAATGTGGTTAGAGCAGCATGAGGCTTGCTCTACTTTATTCCTATAGACCTACCTGTACACTCTACACACAAACGTACACAGGGCATGTATGCAATTAACTGGTGATGGGTCAGTTCCAGTTATGACTAGGGAAAGTCAAATCCCAAATGGGTACCTGGCATTTAGAACTTCAGTTGATCCAATGTGGAAACTTCTCATTTGAAAATTTAATTTGGAAGGAGAAGGGAAAAATCTGACCAGCTTTAAATTTTTATGTTGTGATTAACTAGTTTCTGAGTTTCATATTTGATTTAAGTTTTTTATTATTGTTTTAGAACTTTTAGATTTTCAGGACTATTTTAATATAGGTGGAAAAATAGGTCAGTGTTCACAGCTGTATAAATAAACATTGAAAAATGGCAATTTATCCAGTTTCCTATTTGCAGAAAGAGATTGAAATGAGGTTACTGTGTACCAACACCCAAGTTAAGATAGGTTATTTAATGGTTGCAGGAAGGCCTCATCCATTTAGTGCAAATCATTCTTCGTAAAGTATCTCTGAAAAACAGGTTTCTCTGGATTTTGAATTGCCATTTTGTAAATGCATTTGCAAGTTGATGTTACATGTAATCAGAGAAAACCAGCAGTGGTTGATCCTGAAATGAAGCTGCAGCCCAATATAAATAGGTGAAAGCACCCCTTTAAGACCTTTGTTTCAAAACAGCCAGTACCCAGCCTACAGTTGAGTTGTATTCCAAAAGCTTGTTTTGTCTGTAATTTGGAACTCTGGCTCTTTTTTATTTTGTAATCTGTAAACTGCTTTGTTCCAGGATCAGGTAAAAAAATAATAGTAATAAAAACCTAACAACCTGCCAGAAGAAAAATGTCTTCTGAGTTCAACCTTGGGATGCTCTGCCTGAGAATCAGAGACCCTCCTTTCCCCTGGCACCTGCCACCACCTTCTTTCTGTCTGGCAGTCAGGGTTGGTGGGGCCCTGGGGCCAGAGCCTCATTGGGAGACTTTGTTCGGCCTTGACCTAACAGAAAGAACATGGATTCTGGTGTTTACATGGCTGCATTGCCACTTCCTAGCTGCACAAATGTGAGCAAGTTACTTAACCTGGAGCCTAGTGCCTTGCAGAATTGTTCTGAGGATTAGAGACAATATATGTAAAGGGCCGGGTGCCTGGGTGGCTCAGTTGGTTAAGCGACTGCCTTCGGCTCAGGTCATGATCCCGGAGTGCTGGGATCAAGTCCCGCATTGGGCTTCCTGCTTGGCGAGGGGCCTGCTTCTCCCTCTGACCCTCTCCCCTCTCATGTACTCTCTCTCTCTCATTCTCGCTCTCTCAAATAAATAAATCTTGAAAAAAAAATATATGTGAAGGGCCTGGAATATAATAAGAATTCACTAAGTAGTAGCTACAGTTAGTACTGATACAGATTAGTAATGCAATGTGTAAAAAGTGCAAAGTAAGTTATCAAAATTCATTTAATTCCAAGCCCTACGGGTAGCTACTACTTTATTGTTGCTAATGGTTACTTTGGAAAAAATATACCAAAAAAAAAAAAATAGCTTAACATAAGATATATGGCAAATATGTAGGACTTTCAAAGTGAGGATGTATTGTATTAATTGGCTTGCTCCATTTTTATTTCTAAGCAAAGGGCAAAATGCCAAAGGTGCTGATGTCAGACATTACCAGTAATGTGACTGGGGCAAGTTGTCTAGACACTCTAATTCTCAGGTTTCTCAATGGTAAAATTAGGGTAAGTGTATGTACATCACATAGCAAAACAAATGAGATAAGTAAGCTCTTAGTAGAGTTCATTATTTAGCTTAATAATGAAACTAAATGTTAGTTTGTTTTCCCCAAGTTGTTAGATTCTTGAAGGAAACTTTCCTTCTTGGAAAGGAGCAGCTCAGCCCCCTCAATCAGGGAGTTATTATCATTGTATTGCTTGTGACCTTCCCCTTTCACAAAATTGCTTATCCAGCTTCCCCGAAGAAGAGAGGGACAAATATGAAGTAAGGCAATTTTAGGTGAGCATGCCTTCCTACAGGCTGTTTTTAACGGGGAGTTAGGGTTTTCTTTTTCTTCTACAAGAAATTAACTCAGTACAGTCATTCTCAACTTTGGTTGTATATTGGAATCTCTCAGGGAATTTAAAAAATACAGATGCCTGTGTCCCACCCTAGAGATTTTGCGGCCTGGGCATCTGGAGATTTAAGCGTGCCAAATGATTTAAATCTAAGTTTGAGCTTCCCACTAAGATAGTGGGAAGCTGGAAATGCCCTCATAAAAAGGGGCATGTTTACTTTGGCAGCACATATACTAAAATTGGAATGACACAGAGATCAGCATGGCCCCTGTGCAGGGATGACATGCAAATTCATGAGGCGTTCCATATTTAAAAGGAAAGGAAAGGGGAAAGGGAAGGGGAAGGAACGGGAAGGGAAAAGGGAAAAGGAAAGGGAAGGGAGGGAGGAAGGGAAGGAAAGGAAGGAAGAGAAAAGAAAGCACATGCCAGGGCTCTACCCCAATCATTGAGTGATAGTCTCCCGGGATTGTCCTAGGCAGGTATATTTTTAACTCTCCACAGGTGATTCTAACAAGCACACCTGCTTAAGAATGCATGGGTTAGAGAAGTGAAGTGATTATTAGTGGGGAGAAAGTGGTGCTAAAGACGGACACCCCAAAGGAAAGATTCGTTTTTGGTCTTTAAATTTTCTGAAGTTTTCTATCCTCTTTCCTGTGTAAGAGTTTGGGAAATTTGGTATCTTGATTGTGGCTCAAGTAATATGCACATTTTAGGGCCATTGAAGGCCTGGTCTCTTCGCAGCCCGATTTTCTTTTTTTTTTTTTTAAGATTTTATTTATTTATTTGAGAGAAAGAATGAGAGAGAGAGAGAGAGAGCACACGAGAGGGGGCAGGGTCAGAGGGAGAAGCAGACTCCCTGCCGAGCCGGACTCAATCCCGGGACTCCAGGATCATGACCTGAGCCGAAGGCAGTTGCTTAACCAACTGAGCCACCCAGGCGCCCCGCAGCCCGATTTTCTTTCAACGGACACATAATGAGGCTTGAACTACTGTCTTAAGAGTCCCTTGCTAAGCTGGAGAAAAGAATGCTTTATTCATTTCAGTGGTTTTCTATTGATGATAAGTGAATCATTCAGTAAATGTTTCAATAACTTTTTTTTCATTCAGTAACTTTATTTTTGTAAATGAATTTTTTTCTTACATTTGAAATTGATTTGCTTTGATTTACTTTTGTTTGTAAACACTTCTCTGTCCTGTTTCCCCAACCTGAAGATTGATAAAGGGTTTTTGGCAGCCTCCATTAACCCCAAGGGGTGGGCTGATGTGACAGTGGCAAGAACCTCTGGTGTGGGGACACATAGGATGTTGATGACAAGGCACGGGGTCATCTTCTTTCCCCTTAGCCTAGCTGCAGACCCCCTTAGCATTCAGCCCGAACCTTGCTCCCTTTTTGCCCCCACACTCCTGCCAGACTGAACACTGCCTTGTCCCTCCCGCTGAGCAGGGAGCCTGACGTGGAGCTTGATCCCAGGACCCTGGGATCATGACCTGAGCCGAAGGCAGACTCTTAACTGACTGAACCACCCAGGTGCCGAGGACCTCCCTTCCTCCCGGGCCTTTGATCATGCTATTTCTTCTTCTAGAAGCACCGTCCCCACCACATTCTCTTTTTTTCAAAATTTTACATCTCTTGGAAGTTCAATTCAAATGCTACTTTTTTCACTCTTCTCCAGATACCCCTACTCAACCCAGTGTGGTCTGTGTCTCTCTCTAAAACCATCTTCAAAGTCTGCCTTAGTAACCCTTCCCTGACATTGAGTTCCCATTATACTGAATTCTGGACTACATGGTTTTGTTTTTATCTTCATCTTGGGCAACCAAAAGATGGGATAGGGTTAATGGGGAAAAAAGTTTGGAATGTGGAACCAAAACACAAATACAGCAAAGTGCAAAGGGAAGTAGAGTTTTTTTGCAGAAGAGACTTGGGAATGATCATGAAAGCTGAAGGAAAGGACGCCTGGGGCCCCTGAAGAGTTGCAGACAGCGAGAGTCAGCAACACCCAGCCACGAAAACCCACTGCCTTGGACATTGAGAAGGATGCTGTGGGGAGTGGGGTTCCTTTCTTTGTATGTGACATCCTCACTGCGCAAAATGATTCTTACAAGCGTGTCCTTGAATGCTTCAAGGAAGGGAGCCCCCTCAAAAATATTTAGGGCATGAGGTATAATAAAGGTACACGTCATCACTAACGTGAACCGTGCGAATGCTGGTCATCTCTAGTTAGGAGCTGCCTCATTCCCGTGTGGTGAATATGGGAAATCCTACTAACTAGTTCCAGCTGTGCTCCTTGCGCTCCTGGCCTGTCATAACCTTCCCTCCCTGATGGTTTGCAGAGCGAAATCTCTTGTCTCTTTATCTTCTCTCCTGCTAGATTGTGGGCAAAAATAAATATGTCAATAAATGTTTGCGGAAATGAATCTTTATTACCAGAGTATTATTTGCCTTTATCTGGATCCTAGAGCCGCCTTAACAATAAAAGTGAGTGACTCCAAAGAATAGGACTTGGCAGTGTCCGTATGATACCACTCTTGCTCAGTGGCTTTATTTTTGCTCCTCATGACTTTTCTATAGATAAGGAGCTTATAGTTAGGTCAGGCTTTATTACCACCCAATTCCGTCATTTTTGCAGAAATTGTGTTAAGACTTAACGTACCTGCATTCAACACATTGGTTTCTGCATTCTCATTTGAAATTGGCGACAAGAGGAAAGAGGACCTCAGTTTGAAAAAAAAAAAGATACTTATTTGAGAGAGAGAGCATGAGCTGGGGGGGAGGGCAGAGGGAGAGGGAGAAACAGGCTCCCCACTGAGCAGGGAGCCCTATACAGGGCTCGATCCCAGGACCCCGGGAGACACTTAACCAACTGAGCCACCCAGACGCCGAGGATCTCATTTTTTTTAAAAATGCTTCATTTCCGTAAGCATTTTGATTAATTGCAGAGAGGTAATAGGGGTAGAGAGTAGGTAAAGAAAAAGGGGGGCAGTGGTTAATTTAAATTCCTTAACATTCTGCCGGGAGCAGAGGAGCGCCTCCTTCCAGCATCTGTCCTGGTGTGCCAAAATGCCCCTTCCACAGGTCACCCAGCCACCTCGGAAATTAGTGGGGAGGCTGTAAGAGCCTGATGCAGGAGCCTTGTATGTGCTTATTGCTGTGTATCCCTGCACAGTCATTCTGGAGCTTCTGTTAAATTCCTTAACATTCTGCCGGGAGCAGAGGAGCGCCTCCTTCCAGCATCTGTCCTGGCGTGCCAAAATGCCCCTTCCACAGGTCACCCAGCCACCTCGGAAATTAGTGGGGAGGCTGTAAGAGCCTGATGCAGGAGCCTTGTATGTGCTTATTGCTGTGTATCCCTGCACAGTCATTCTGGAGCTTCTGGAAGAGCCGCAGAGGAGAGGTTCATCAGAGCGGGACCCTTGATATGGTTGGTGCAAGCATCAGGCAGAACAGACAGGGCAGGAGTCCTGCCTGAGGCACTCTGCTGTGCCAACATGTCCAGTTAGGTGCTGTGTCATGGGAGGTGTTGGGCCAAGGAGGGTCAGCGGCACAGGGAGGGCTCTTGAAGCTAATGGACCTGCATGTTTAACCATCAGCACAAATATTTCAACGTGTTAAAAACCAGGCTGGCCATACCAGTGCAGACCCGTTCCTGCCAAGAGCCCTTCTGCGGCTGGCCAGAGAACATGAGAAGCCATGTGCCTAAAGGACTGCCTAGGGACCAAGGCCTTTTCTGAGGACTCCTGAGACCAGCCTCACCCTTAGGGACACCGCCAATGCAGCTGAAGGCCCAGGTCGCCCCTCTAGGTCTGCTAAGGTCCTGACAATTGGCTCCAGGCTCTGTGTCCCGGTTGCTCACCCTTGCATGTCATTGTGTGAAGCTCGTGCGTCAGCCTGGACCTTGGCACCACTCACTCGCTTCCAGCTCACCAGGTGTGTGCCCTTGGGGGTGTATGGCCATTGATTTCAGCAACCTCTCAGTACTTTTGTAGGGTAAGCCCTGGGCTGGCGCTGTAGGATATTCAAACATGAAGGCACAGTTCAGATCTGCAGTCTAGTAAGCGGTCCCCTTTTAGGTTTGGAAAACTTAAGCACAACTCAAAGGAATCCAAGAAGCCTGAGGAGGGTACTGGAGTTGACTCGGGTATATAAAAGGGCATTTTGGTCATATTACGTTTGTACTGCTTAGTAATAATTCTTTGGGGGTGGGGTTTTTCTCTTTCAGCACCTCCGTAACCTCTGCCAAAGTGGCTGTGAATGGTGTCCATTTGCATTATCAGCAGACTGGAGAGGGAGAGCATGCAGTCCTGCTGCTTCCTGGAATGTTGGGTCTGGAAGTTTTTAATGGAATTTTCATGCTGTGTAGTCTATGATGCATTCACATTATTAGATGCCAAATATTGATTATTAATTTTAGTGCTTTCCTAAATGCTTTAATATTTGCTACAAATTTAAGTGATTCAGAAAAGAAGGATAACTTTCTACTATATGTATTCTTTATTCCTTTAAATACCCAGGTTTTTTTTTTTTTCTCATAGAGTTATACTGTGTAGTTACCTACAATTTGGGAGGATGACAGGGGTCAAGGAAAGGTGTGTGGGCAGAAGGGATAGATAAAGGCAGGAGACGAGCTACTGACCAACCATCCCAGTGTGCCTGGAATTGAGGGGTTCCAGGATGCAAGACTTCCAGTGCTGGAAGATGGATTGATCACCCTGTTACAGTTGATTATATGCTCAATTAAAATACGAGCTAAGAAAAAGACTTAATTTAAAGCCTTTTTGGAAGTCAAAATTAGATTGGCATGAATGGAGCATAGTAAAGCCGACTGTATCCCAATTTTATCTTTCAGATAAGTAATTCACATGTAGACAGCTCAGGACGATAATGTCCAGTGATCCCAGGACACTCAAATTTGGTTTTAAGGATTTTAGTATTGTTTTAATTTAGTGAAATAATACCAATATATACTATTTCCTTATGATTTCTTCTAAAAGTAAAATGCTAAAATGCCTTTCCAAACTTATAGACACATAATATGTGTGTGTGTGTAAAAAACATATATGTGCAAAAAACATATATATACAATATATATATTACACATTATATACACATATATATAAGTTTTTTTAAGTAGGCTCCATGCCCAGCATGGAACCCAGCATGGGACTCAATCTCACAACCCTGAAGTCAAGACCTAAGCTGAGGGGCGCCTGAGTGGCTCAGTCGGTTAAGCAGCTGCCTTTGGCTCAGGTCATGATCCTGGAGTCCTTGGATCAAGTCCCGCATTGGGCTCCCTGCTCGGCAAGGAGTCTGCTTCTTCCTCTGACCCATCCCCATCTCATGCTCTCATTCTCTTTCTCAAATAAATAAATAAAATCTTAAAAAAAAAAAGACAGCTGAGATCCAGAGTTGGATGCTAAATTAACTGAACCACCTCTGCACCCCTCCATTTATATTTTTGCCTTAGGTTTTCTGAATGATTTACCTGATGGTGAGAAAGGTAGATCTTCCCAGGAAGAATGGTGGTCCTTGATAATGTTAAATGATCCTGTACCATCTTAAAAGACATTTTGTAATAATAGCTAGTTTATCCAGCAAGATGTTTAGGTGGCCTGAGCTACAAGCCCTTAGAAAGTAAGTGGACTTTAAAAATGAAATGTGGACTTGCTCCTGGACTGGGCTCCTTGAGAGTCTGGCCTTCTGGGCCACACGCAGTAGGTGTGTGCGCACAGTGGCCGTGACCTTGTGGGGAGGCTGGGAACTGCCAGTCAGTTCCACTACAGCCTCAGCGTGGTTCTGCTTGTTACCATGCTGCTGTTTGAAACAAGCTAATCTGATTTCTTCCCTCCACACCCTGCCCTCTCCCTCATTTTAGAGTTTTAGTTGAGTTTTCTGGTGTTCACTTATAACCAGAAAATAAAATCTCCAGGGCTGTTCACATTAGCCTAGTAAAAAACACTTGGGAATTTGGGGTGCCTGGGTGGCTCAGTTGTTAAGCATCTGCCTTCGGCTCAGGTCATGATCCCAGGGTCCTGGGATCGAGCCCCGCATTGGGTTCCCTGCTCAGCAGGAAGCCTGCTTCTCCCTCTCCCGCTCCCCCTGATTGTGTTCCCTCTCTCGCCGTGTCTCTCTCTCTCAAATAAATAAGTAAAACCTTAAAAAAAAAAAAAACCTGGGAATTTAGATTTCTACTTTGAATAACTTGGACCAAATCTCATAAATTTGTTGACAGATAATATTGAGATAGCTCTCATTTTAGAAAGAAAAAAAAAAACCACAAACAAACAAAACAAATAAGTAAGTTTCTATGCAGTTTCATGAATTCCTTTTTTTTAAATTAAAAAAAAATTTTAAGGAAGATTAACTGGGAAAGTATCAAAAGTAATAATACAGGACCAAATGAATCCTCAAAGTAGCCACTAGGAGGAGACAAAAGGCAGGTCTGAACACCAGAAAAGGAAGTCAGCCTCCCCGTAAATGGATTTTATTTATCATCACAAGGCTACTTTGCTGACTGCATCCTGCTGTCTAACTTCGAGTAGAAACTAGTTACTTTGTTTTAAGATTGTAATTGTTTTCTGCTTTTACTGTAATGTGCTTGAAATAATGAAATCATTCACCTGAGGGTAACTGAGTGGCTATTTTTAGGAAGTGGAGAGACTGATTTTGGACCCCAGATTAAGAACCTAAGTAAGAAGCTCTTCACAGTGGTTGCCTGGGATCCTCGAGGGTATGGGCACTCCAGACCCCCAGATCGAGATTTCCCAGTGGACGTTTTTGAAAGGGATGCAAAAGATGCTGTTGATTTGATGAAGGTGGGTCTCTTAGGGAAGAGCCCAGAGAAGGGAGGATGGCTGGGCCTGTCTTCATCTATTTGTTTTTGGTTTTGTGGTTTTTTTATTTCTTTAAGGGTAATACCATGTAATTCTTACAGAGAATTCAGGGAGTTCAAATAGGTATGAATTAGGAAGTAGAAATATCCCACAATCCAACTATTTAGAGATACTGCTGGTATGACTTTGACACTCTGCCTTCCCAGCCCATCTTTTTTTTTTTTTTTCCAATTTTGTTAACATATAGTGTATTATTAGTTTCAGGAATAGAATTTAGTGATTCATCAGTTGCATATAACACCCAGCACTCATTACATCAAGTGCCTTCCTTAATGCCCATCACCCAGTTACCTTATCCCCCCACCCACCTCCCCTCCAGCAACCCTCAGTTTGTTTCCTAGAGTTCAACATCTCTTATGGTATGCTTCCCTCTCTGCTTTCATCTTATTTTATTTTTCCTTCCCTTCCCCTATGTTCATCTGTTTTGTTTCTTAACTTCCACATATGAGTGAGATCATATGGTATTTGTCTTTCTCTGACTTATTTCACTTCGCATAATACCCTCTAGTTTCATCCATTGCAAATGGCAGGATTTCATTATTTTTGATGGCTGAGTGATCTTTCATTGTATATTTAGGCCACATCTTCTTTATCCAGTCATCCATTGATAGACATCTGGGTTCTTTTCATATTTTGGCAATTGTGGACATTGCTGCTATAAACATTGGGGTGCATGTGCCCCTTTGAATCACTATGTATGTATCCTTTAGATAAATACCTAGTAGTACAATTGCTGGATGGTAGGGTAGTTCTATTTCTAACTTTTTGAGGGACCTCCACACTGTTTTCCAGAGTGGCTGCACCAGCTTACATTCCCACCAACAGTGCAAGGGGGTTCCCCTCCAGCCAGTCTTCTTTCATATATAAATACATGGTTTTGTATTGATGGCGTCATACTTACACATAATGTTTTTCCAAATTACTGTTCTTTGAACAATTTGTCAAGGAGATACTTCCATGTTAACAAATAATAAGTTTACGTAAGTCTTATAATAGTCAAACAGTATTCCATTGTAGGGATGCAGTGTCTTACTTCACCTCTCTCTAATGGTAGATAAATCATCAAATTTTTAAGTTGCTTTTTTTTGTTATTAGAAACAGCAGTTCAGTGAATATTGTTTTGTCCATGGACATTTTAGTTCTTTTATAAACAGTGTTGGTGTGGACACTCCTGGACCTGTCTCCTGATGTACGGGTGCAGGAGTTCCATACATATCTAGGGGATGATGCTGGGTTATGGAAGATGCAAATGTTCCTTTTACAAGATAGTGCCAAATTATTATCCATGCTACTTACAGCCATGTATAGTCCCATCAGTATCTTGGACTGATATTTGTTAAATCTTTCATTTTCCAGGTCATTCTATTTTTACTTCTGGGCAGCATCTCTCCGATGTCATCTTTGTTCAGTTTCCCTGTCTAACATGTTTTCAGAGCCTGGTTGATTTAAGGACTAATAACCTCCCCGTGACACCATTCTCCTCTAGCCTGTTCTTCCCACAGTTGCAGTCAGTGGTTTTATCAGATGTGGTGACTTCATTCCATCCAGTAAATATCAAGTTTCCCTCTCTAATCTGCGTTACTATTCTCAAAGCCTTTGCTCAGGTGTGGGTGTGCATGCACATGTTACTTGTCATTTCCAAGGACCGGTGATCGCCACTGTTTCCAGAGAGTCTGTCCAACCAGAAGATGTAGTTCCCTCATTAATTGAAAACAATACTAAGTACTTAGGGTTTTTTTTAAATTCAATTTAATGAACATATACTGCATTATTAGTTTCAGAGGTACTTAGGATCTTACGACACTTAGATTTACACCAAAACTAATGGAGAAAAAAACATTTGCGTCATCAAATGGTGGATTCTAGGATTTTTCTTTAATTACCAACAGCTGCTCCAAACCTCACAGCTGTATTGATTTTGACAACTGTCAATTATGGGATTCTTTTAGCAGAGAGGAGCAATCAGCTGTGCTATGTGCATTTCACTGTATTCCTCGCAGATGCTGAAGTTTAAGAAGGTGTCCCTGCTGGGCTGGAGTGATGGCGGCATTACATCTCTTATTGCAGCTGCAAAATATCCATCGTTCATCAGCAAGATGGTGATCTGGGGAGCCAATGCCTACGTGACTGATGAAGATGAGAAGATTTATCAGGGTAGGTCTCACGAATCGTAGCTGTCATGATAAGTGGTACCTTTGCTCTTCCCTTCTCAGGACTTACTTCGATCTGTATTGACAAGTCCTGTCTCGTCTGCTTCCTGTTCTCAGCTCTGAGGTCGGAAAAGCCATGAGTTCTCACAAAAGCCCTACAGTTTAACCAGTCTGTGTTTTAACGCTTTCTGTTTGCAGAAGTGACACCTTCGTGACTCAAGAAAAGGTCCTAGAAAATCCGCGTTCACATTTCCGACTACTGATAGTGAACTTCAAGGAGGAAGGGCTTTATGGAAAGTGTTCTTCATAACCTCTTAAAATTATGGGAGGGTAAAAGGAATATTGTATTGAAACCTTATATTTTGATAAATTCTGTGCTGTTCACATTTCATAAGGTTGTCCTTGAAGCTTATCTTTGAAGCTTTTAGAGGTAGAAGAACAGGGACCAGCAAACTTAGAGCCTGTGGGCCAAATCCAGCCCATCTGTTTTTGTAAGGCCAGGCACTGATGGAGAAGGCCAGCAGTGGCAGGCTTAGAGATCAAGCGGGGTTCCCCCTCCGTCCCCGTTTCCTCCTCTGTGCCCAGAGTTGCTGCCCAGCTGTGGGATTGCAGGCAGCACCTCAGGACTCGCTTAGCCTCCAGCAAGCTGACCAGACTGAAACTGCTTGGTTCTCGGGAGGAGAGGAGGACACATCAGGATCTGGGGGTGTCTGGGGCAAAAATCAAAACTGCCCTGGGGTACCCCCCCACCATCTGCCGGCTTGACCCACCAGGACCCTCTTCTTCAGTCTGGTGGCTTTTGATCTCAAGTATGTCTCTCCTGGATCCCAGATGGCCTGGCCCAGGCAGTTGGGGTCAAGCATAAATCTGCCTACCTAATACCTTTGATTTTGCCTCTTGGCTTGCAAAGCCAAAAATACTCTCTGGCCCTTGACAGAAAACATTTGCAGACCCAGGCACTAGACTATGACAAGTGTAGTTTTATTCAGCTGGTTCTGCAGTTCACCTGATTTAAGTAAGCCACTAAATGGCAGTGTTCTGTTGTAGAATCTTAGTTCTTTGCACTGTTTGTGAAAGGACAATGAACCTCCTAAATGATGAGTCTGAGGCAGTCACCCATCCTAATCGGCACTCCTGCTTTTCCTTTTTGTATCTGTACCAGGTTCAGAGGAAAAAAAATACTGTAAATGGAATGGAAATGCCTGTGACAATGCCTGCCTTCTCTGTCTGATAATTCCAATGTCTGGGTCATCTTAGGGTCAGCATTTGCTGGTTGTCTTTTCCCTTGAGAATTGGTCAGATTTGCCTGTTTGGGGATTGTAGAGTTTTTTCATTTATTTATTTGTTGGTTTTATATGTTAATTCGGGATTGTTTTTATTGTGCTATGTTGTGAGACTTGGTATCCTGTTAAAACTGAGGAATGTTAATTTTTTTTTTTTTTCTTGGCATGCCATCAGCCTGGTTAGGTTCATACTGCAAATTCTATTTAGCCTTCTATGGGCAATAGTTCCAGCATCAGGTCCATTCTCAGAGCCTGTGCTATGCTTCTTCGTGTCTGCCCCACACAAACCCTACTCAGGCTATGCTGGGACGTAGGTGGTGGTTTATATGGTAGTTCAGTTCTTGATGCTTATGCTGTGTGCTTTTTTGGATCTTCCCCATGCATGGAGAGCTCAGGGGTGATCCCAGGACTTGAATCATTTCATTAGTTCATATGCAGAATTAGGGACCCCCTTCAAAGCTCCTATGACCAGAAACAGATTTCTCTCAGAAAGAGAGGTTTCAGCAGCCCCCCCCCCCACACCCCGCTGCTGTGCTTCCTGCAACTGGAGCCATCTTTAGGGCAAAGCAGCCAGAGAAAAGAGATGGAAGAATTAACAGGGATTTCACCTACAATCTTCAGTTACTAGGGGCCCCTTTTTCTGGTACCTTCGGTCAGAAAGCTAGCCTTCTCTTGGGGTTTTAGGGGCCTGTCTGTTGCTGGACTAGTAGTGCAGGCCCATGGCTGTGCACCTTCACAACATGGACTACAGTAGGAAGAGAGAAAGAGAGAAACAGTCTTCCTCAAGCAGGGGAGCCTGGTCCAGGTCCTCTGGCTAACTCTAGGGGTCTTCTGAAGTTCCCACTTTCCGCATCCCCAACCACATGTGTGATCCACCCCCCACTCCGTGTTTCAAAGTTGGGACTCCAAGGAAGAAAAGGGAAATAAGAAACTCATCCCCTTTCTGTGTCATTATTCAAGGTTTGACTGTTCAGCCTCCTGCTCTTATATGTTGGCATGTAGTTGCTCCTTGTTCTGTCTGGAGTTCAGCTATAATCCACTGGGGGGGGGGGGGCGCTCACACCAGCTTAGCCAGCACCCACGCCCAAGAGATGCTGGGTACTCACTTGAGCAGATGTCTCACAGCTTCTGCTATGACTAGGGGGTGATGTTCTCTAAACTACTCTTCAGCCAGGCTCCTCCTGAGCCCCAGAGCCAGATTTCTATCGGCTGAGCACCTTCCTCTGGATAGCCCGTAAGTCTGTCAAAACTAGTGTGTCTGCCTTGAACTCATGACCTCATAACTCTTCCCACAGCCCAGCCCGTTATCTCTGTCTCAGTGAGTGGGGCCCGGGCCACCTGGGAGGCATCCAGGGCCAACCTCTAAAGGTAACCCCTCCTCTCTTCCCACCCACTGTTTTCCTGCTTCAGACCCTTGGCCTCTGAGGGCACTTGGTCTTACACGAAAGAGTTTCCTCACTAAGGCAAAAACCTGGTCACCAGATTCTGTGACTTACAATCCTTCAGTGACTTCAGTGACCTCCAAGCACCTGGGCCCTGCCCGCCCTGAAGCCAGCTGCGCCTTCCCCCTCGGCCTCCGTGCGCCTTCCGCCCCCCC